CCGAGCCTACGCTCAGGCGTGGGCTCACACAGTCCGTGCGAACGATTCCGAAGAGAGCGAAGCGTGAGCTCAGTGCATGCCGATCGATTGCATTCCTTGCAACGGACCTCGCCGGTGTCCGGAAAACGTACAAACTGGTGCTGAGACGAATCCAGAAGGGCCGCGCGCGGGCCGCTGGGAGGCCGTTCACCCCGCTCCTGGCTCCAGAGTCCAAGCTCTGCAATCCTGGCCACCGCAAGCCCGAGGAAGCGTGCGTGAGACTGCACGGCTCCGATTTGGAGATCGAGCCCGTCAACATATTTCTCTGGCAAGGCGTGGGAAAGGGCTCCGAGGCGGGCAAAATGCTCGGCCCATGCGTTCCCTTGCACATCTAACACCGAAATCCTTTTTGCCAGCGCGCCGTCAATTGTGAGGTGCGACGGGGCCCAAACGAAGTCGGGCACCCCTTTTTTCCGCAGCCTGAAACAGCGAGCGCCACACGCCTGGGTAGGTGCCCCTGGACGAGGCGAGGCGGGGGTTCCGGAAGCCTCCGGACCAGAGTTTTTTTTTTTTTTTAATTGGGTCACCGGGTCACAGGGTCAGCTGACCCACTCCACCGGGTCACCGGGTCACCGGGTCACCGGGTCAGCTGACCCACCCCACCGGGTCACTGGGTCACCGGGTCACCGGGTCAGCTGACCCACCCCACCGGGTCACCGGGTCACCGGGTCACCGGGTCAGCTGACCCACCCCACCGGGTCACAGGGCGGGTCAGCTGACCCACCCAATCACCCACCGCGCCCACCGGGTCACCGGGTCACCGGGTCAGCTGACCCACCCCACCGGGTCACCGGGTCACCGGGTCAGCTGACCCACCCCACCGGGTCACCGGGTCACCGGGTCACCGGGTCACGGTCAGCTGACCCACCACACCCACCGGGTCACCGGGTCACCGGGTCACTGGGTCAGCTGACCCACTCCACCGGGTCACTGGGTCACCGGGTCACCGGGTCAGCTGACCCACTCCACCGGGTCACCGGGTCACCGGGTCAGCTGACCCACCCCACCGGGTCACCGGGTCACCGGGTCACCGGGTCAGCTGACCCACTCCACCGGGTCACCGGGTCACCGGGTCAGCTGACCCACTCCACCGGGTCACCGGGTCGCCCCGCAGGCGTCCTGAGCCGCTCTCAGGACGCCCCGCAGGCGTCCTGAGAGCGGCTCGGCGCGTCGACCTGCGGCGCCTTGTCCTGAAAAACTGCCGTGTTGTAGTAGTTGTTAAAACGTTGTTTTTGTTGTCTTCCCCGAAACATAGCAATATCAAGAACAAACATGAAAAACATAGAAAGTTATGCAATTTTCAGGTTAATCGCATCGGACAGCCCACATCGACTTAGCTGACTTAGCTACTAGGTTGGATATGTTGAGGTGTATGTATCGTTATATCTTGGCAGTGGTACCCGATAGCTCAGTTAATAAGATGGATGGTTCTGTGAGTAGTATGTTTGGTATGTTGTTGAATATAATTATCTAACAAAACGTTAAGAAGATGAATGCTAAGTTCGATATTTTATGTATGTTGAATATGTGAGGTCAACTAGCATGAACCTACATACATCTTCGTTGAAACGATTTCATCGGATATACAACGCTCTTACCGCACTTACACCCACCCGACGGTCAAAGTGACCCACCCCGCCGGGTCACCGGGTCACCGGGTCACCGGGTCAGCTGACCCACCCCACCGGGTCACCGGGTCACCGGGTCACCGGGTCAGCCGACCCACCCCGCGGGATCACCGGGTCACCGGGTCACCGGGTCGCCGGGTCAGCTGACCCACCCCACCGGGTCACCGGGTCACCGGGTCACCGGGTCAGCTGACCCAGCCCACCGGGTCACCGGGTCACCGGGTCACCGGGTCACCTTGTCAGCTGACCCACCCCACCGGGTCACCGGGTCACCGGGTCACCGGGTCAGCTGACCCACCCCACCGGGTCACCGGGTCACCGGGTCACCGGGTCACCGGGTCAGCTGACCCACCCCACCGGGTCACCAGGTCACCGGGTCACCGGGTCAGCAGACCCACCCCGCCGGGTCACCGGGTCACCGGGTCACCGGGTCAGCTGACCCACCCCGCCGGGTCACCGGGTTACCGGGTCACCGGGTCAGCTGACCCACCCCACCGGGTCCGCGGGTCACCGGGTCACCGGGTCAGCTGACCCACCCCGCCGGGTCACCGGGTCACCGGGTCACCGGGTCAGCTGACCCACCCCACCAGGTCACCGGGTCACCGGGTCAGCTGACCCACCCCGCCGGGTCACCGGGTCACCGGGTCACCGGGTCAGCTGACCCACCCCACCCGGTCCGCGGGTCACCGGGTCACCGGGTCAGCTGACCCACTCCACCGGGTCACCGGGTCACCGGGTCACCGGGTCACCGGGTCACCGGGTCACCGGTCACCGGGTCAGCTGACCCACCACCGGGTCACCGGGTCACCGGGTCAGCTGACCCACCCCACCGGGTCACCGGGTCACCGGGTCACCGGGTCAGCTGACCCACCCCACCGGGTCACCGGGTCAGCTGACCCAACCGGGTCACCGGGTCACCGGGTCAGCTGACCCACACCGGGTCACACCCACCGGGTCCTGGGTCACCGGGTCAGCTGACCCACCCCACCGGGTCACCGGGTGGGTCACCCAGGGTCACCGGGTCAGCTGACCCCAACCGGGTCACCGGTCACCACCGGGTCACCCGGGTCACCGGGTCAGCTGATCCACCCCACCGGGTCACCGGGTCACCGGGTCACCGGGTCAGCTGACCCAGCCCACCGGGTCACGGGGTCACCGGGTCATTGGGTCACCGGGTCACTGGGTCAGCTGACCCACCCCACCAGGTCACCGGGTCACCGGATCACCGGGTCACTGGGTCAGCTGACCCACCCCACCGGGTCACCGGGTCACCGGGTCAGCAGACCCACCCCACCGGGTCACCGGGTCACCGGGTCACCGGGTCACCGGGTCAGTTGACCCACCCCACCGGGTCACCGGGTCACCGGGTCACTGGGTCAGCTGACCCACCCCACCGGGTCACCGGGTCACCGGGTCACCAGGTCACAGGGTCACCGGCCACCGACCCAATTAAAAAAAAATTCTAGTTCACACGCACTCGGATCTCAGCGCCGCGAATCAACGTGACCGTTGTGGCCTGACATTATCACTCGTGCCACAACACCATGCCTGAGACTACAAGACAGCGAAGCAACGTAACGGTTGCGTCTGGACAGTCCCAGATCGTGCCAGGACACCATTCCTTGGATTTCAACCATCCGAATCCTTCGAACCGCTGCGATCTTTCAAGACGAACGTGCGCGGCGATAGTGCGAACGCTTCATTTTTTGAAACGGGGCATTCTGCATCCAAGGAACTGCTGCAGACTTTTCATACGAATGCGCGCGGCTCTGAGGCGAGAGCCACACTTTGGAAACGACTCGTCCTCCATCGACGAAACTGTTACACTCTTTAAGACGAGCGCGGCGCCATGGCGAGACTAACGTTGTGGAACCGGCCCGCCCTCCATCCACGAAGCTGGTGCATCTTTTCAAACGAACGTTCGCGGCGCGGAGGCGAGAGCCACGTCTTGACAGTGGGCCGCCTTCATCCGTGCAATTGCGGTGGTTTTTATGACGAGTGCGCGCGGTGCGGAGGCGAGAACTCCATCTTGAAAACGACCCGTCCTCCAGCCGCGAAGTTGTTGTAAAGTTTTCGGGCGTATATGCGCGGCACTAAAGCGAGAACCATATTTTTGAAACGGCCCGCCCTCCATCCGTGAAGCTGTTGCAAATTTCAAGTTTCAGGATTGTCTATGGTTGGGAAGTCTCAGGCGAATCGCATGACCAGCCCTGCCGACACGTCTGGGGGTGCGACAGGGACGATTTGTTCATACGGAAAATGGATGGAGCAGGAGGAGGACGAGGAGGAGGCGGAGGCCCTGGAGGAGGATGAGTAGGGAGACGCGCGGCGCTGCGGACAAAACACGAGGACCCAATTGCGAAAAAGACTGGGAACATTCCATAGCAATTGTGGTGCAAGCCTGATTCATCAGTTAACTGTTTGGCTTGTCTCGCCACCCCGCCCGCGCTCCGCTCCTGCAATATCTCCCGCAGGCTTTGCTCTCCGATGGCGGTGCCAGCGATCGATGAATCCTGGCGCCAAGACCCGATACTGGTGGGTGACGCGGCGCCACCGGTCGGAGTGAATCTCCAACGTCATGTGCCACGGACATTCGGCGTCATCGTGCACGAGCCGATGTACTCTCGCAAGGTTGGCATCGTGAGGGCCCGCACACCACATCCCGAGAACTCGAACGGCCTGCAGCGCGTGGGTGGGGCGTCCGCGGAGCCAATCGCTTCGCGTCCTGTCGGCGCAGAGTTGGGCGGCCCGGAGTTCGTGGTGGGGTCGCCCGCGAAGCGGGTTGCTTCGCGCGGCCCTGACAGTGCTCCTGCAAGTGCAAGTTTGCTTGGGGCAGGCCTGGACTGGTCCGGGGCCTTGAGAGGTGCGATCGGGGCAGCGGTGGTGGCTTTGCGCCGGAAGCTGAAAGGCAAGTCCTCGTCTCGGACTGTCTCTGAGATCAAAGAGGCCACGCCAGTTGCGCCGGCCTCGCCACCACGGGCCGGGTTCAGATTCAGAGCTCGGTTATATGTCGAGGCGCGTGAGCCAGTAGTGCACAGCTGAGTTTTTTTGGCATGCCCCAAGTGCCGCTGTGCAAAAGCCATGCGCTCTCGAGGAGAAGGAGGGAACCGCTCTGCCAGCAGGTGCCCAGAGAAAGTGGCCAGGAGCAGCGATCGGGGGAGATAGGCATAAGGGGGGGATGCATATCTGCCCCCGATCGCCCATGGATCGCCGAGAGCAGCCCGATAGCCTCCACCCGCCCAGGAGCCGTGCGGACTCACTATCCGGGGGCCCAGTGCCGATCCCTCGGCGACGTGTCGCCGATCCCAGATCGACGCATCCCCCCCCCCGTGCCCGTCCCCACCTTCCGCTGCCCCTCGAGGGGAGGAGCAGCGAGGAGGTGGGCAGCACGGGCGTGGTCGTGGCGCGAGGGGTGGCCGGCACGGCGCGGCGCAGCCTGCCACGGGCCGATCAGACCCGGGCGAGGTCGGGCACGTCCCGTGCTGATGCGGCCCTGCGACTCGAGCACGGAGGGCCGAGCCCCCCCCCCTGCACAGCCAAGCGGTGCCCGGGAGCCTTGGACAGGAGCTGGCGTAGCGGCTTCTAATCGAAAGGCCTTTGCAGCTCTCCAAGCTGCGATCCGGGACACTTTTTGGGCCGCTTCTGACATGGGCAAGGGCGCCGGCGAGCCCCTCTGCGGCTGCTTTCGGCGCCAGATGTTCGTACGTGGCGCCGCCCAGCATTTTTTTTTGGCGGGCTCGAGCACGAGCAGGGCCACCAGCGAGCCAGGTTCCAGCACTAGATGCTCGCTCGCGGCGGCATCCGCCTTCCCGTTCCTCAACCCTCCTCTCCGTCCTTCTGCCGTCTTCCCCGCTTTCGCGCCCTTTTTGTTTGCCAGCTTCGGGATCGCGATGTTCGAAGCGTTGGTGCTGGCGCTCTTCGGCTTGCGCAGTACTCCCCCAGAGGCGCCCCGCAGACGGCCCCCAGACCCCCAAGACCAAGCCCCAGGACTCAACGATCCCCGAAGGCCCCCCCCCCCACACACCAATCACAGGCTCCCCAAGGGCACCCAGCCCCCAAGATGTCCCAAGTAGCGCCCGAAGAGGACCAAAGACGGGTCCCAAGCCGGCCCAGGGCAACCGCAAGATAGCCGCCACTGGAGCCCAAGAAGGGCCAGGATGGCCCCAGGACGGCTCAAGGGCGCCCAGAGATGTCCCAAGAAGGCTCGAAGACGGCATAGGAATGCCCAAGGGGACCTAACGTGGCCCCAAGAGGCTGCAAGACAGTCCCAAGAGGACTCCACAACGGCCGGCATCCGCTGGCCCGATTGCTTGTGACCGACCAGAACCTAAGCGTGCGCGAAGCTCGCGCGTGGTTGTACATATATCATGCCAGGGTACCGGGGGGCTGGGGCCAGGGCCAGGACACCCTCACGGAATTTCCCCCCCCCTCCCCCCGGCCCTCCCCCTTATTTTGGCCTGCGAGACAGTTTGACAACTTCCAGGGCCTCCCGGGCCTCCCCCTCGCCGTTCAAAGCAGCTCCGGAGGCCACCAACAAAGCGACCAGAGCAGCCTGACAGGGCCGAAGACGCCCGAACATTGTTTCAAGACGGCTCAAGAGGCTCCGAAGACGTCCCAAGAAGGCTCCTGCGCCCCGGGAGAGCCCCAGGGGGCAAAAGTTGTCCCATCCTTGCGGCCAACACGGATTTTAGCAGATGCGCATGTTGGGTCTGAACAGCGTCCAAACGGCTTAGAGGCCCGAAAGATCACCCCAAGATTCGGCCCAAGAGGCAAGAGGGCCCCAGGACGGCCCAAGAGAGCCCTAAAGACGGTCCAAGAGGCGCCCAAGACGGCCCAACAGGGGCCTCAAGAGGGAGCCAAGAGGGGGATTTCAAACTGACATTTCGAGCCCTCGGCTCCAAGTGGCAGACCCTCAAGAGGACCCCGAAGGGCTGAAAAAGAGGCCCCACGAACCCGCCAAGAGGCCGCTCCACGAGGCGCCCGAGAAGCACGCCAACAGACAGGTATCCGAGAGAATCCCCTGGCCCAGAGCTCAGGCACACTAGCCATGGGGGCCGAAGGCTATGGACAAGCCAGCAATTCGCTTGGCGACGGACCCATCCCTCTATGCAGTCATGTGCAGCGCGGGACGCCTGTCTCTCTTCGTGCACTGCGCGCCGCGGGGCAAGGGCGCCGGCGAGCCCCTCTGCGGCTGCTTTCGGCGCCAGATGTTCGTACGTGGCGCCGCCCAGCATTTTTTTTTGGCGGGCTCGAGCACGAGCAGGGCCACCAGCGAGCCAGGTTCCAGCACTAGATGCTCGCTCGCGGCGGCATCCGCCTTCCCGTTCCTCAACCCTCCTCTCCGTCCTTCTGCCGTCTTCCCCGCTTTCGCGCCCTTTTTGTTTGCCAGCTTCGGGATCGCGATGTTCGAAGCGTTGGTGCTGGCGCTCTTCGGCTTGCGCAGTACTCCCCCAGAGGCGCCCCGCAGACGGCCCCCAGACCCCCAAGACCAAGACCCAGGACTCAACGATCCCCGAAGGCCCCCCCCCCCCAACACACCAATCACAGGCTCCCCAAGGGCACCCAGCCCCCAAGATGTCCCAAGTAGCGCCCGAAGAGGACCAAAGACGGGTCCCAAGCCGGCCCAGGGCAACCGCAAGATAGCCGCCACTGGAGCCCAAGAAGGGCCAGGATGGCCCCAGGACGGCTCAAGGGCGCCCAGAGATGTCCCAAGAAGGCTCGAAGACGGCATAGGAATGCCCAAGGGGACCTAACGTGGCCCCAAGAGGCTGCAAGACAGTCCCAAGAGGACTCCACAACGGCCGGCATCCGCTGGCCCGATTGCTTGTGACCGACCAGAACCTAAGCGTGCGCGAAGCTCGCGCGTGGTTGTACATATCATGCCAGGGTACCGGGGGGCTGGGGCCAGGGCCAGGACACCCTCACGGAATTTCCCCCCCCCCCGGCCCCCCCCCTTATTTTGGCCTGCGAGACAGTTTGACAACTTCCAGGGCCTCCCGGGCCACCAGAGCAGCCTGACAGGGCCGAAGACGCCCGAACATTGTTTCAAGACGGCTTAAGAGGCTCCGAAGGCGTCCCAAGAAGGCTCCTGCGCCCCGGGAGAGCCCCAGGGGGCAAAAGTTGTCCCATCCTTGCGGCCAACACGGATTTTAGCAGATGCGCATGTTGGGTCTGAACAGCGTCCAAACGGCTTAGAGGCCCGAAAGATCACCCCAAGATTCGGCCCAAGAGGCAAGAGGGCCCCAGGACGGCCCAAGAGAGCCCTAAAGACGGTCCAAGAGGCGCCCAAGATGGCCCAACAGGGGCCTCAAGAGGGAGCCAAGAGGGGGATTTCAAACTGACATTTCGAGCCCTCGGCTCCAAGTGGCAGACCCCCAAGAGGACCCCGAAGGGCTGAAAAAGAGGCCCCACGAACCCCCCAAGAGGCCGCTCCACGAGGCGCCCGAGAAGCACGCCAACAGACAGGTATCCGAGAGAATCCCCTGGCCCAGAACTCAGGCACAGTAGCCATGGGGGCCGAAGGCTATGGACAAGCCAGCAATTCGCTCGGCGACGGACCCAGCCCTCTGTGCAGTCATGTGCAGCGCGGGACGCCTGTCTCTCTTCGTGCACTGCGCGCCGCGGGGCACTGCGGAGGTGGGGCTGCTGCGGAGCACGCGCGCGCGGGCTCGCGGAGCTCTCTGCGGGGCACGGTCCGCGTGCAGGGCGTGCCGAATAGTTCGGATGCCCCCGAGCGCGCCGCCCACGGAGGTCGCAGGCCGGCCTCCTCTGGGCACTGCCCCGTGCGGGGCACGTTCCGAAGTGGGCGGGGGGACGTCGTGCGAAGCTGCCCCTGGGTGCCACAGTTGGAGTTTTCCTTCTGGGGCATGATTCGCACGACGGGTGTGTCGGCATGGGGAGGGGGGCGCTGTGCGAACTTTATTTTTGGGCCTTTCGGTGGTGTTCCTTCTGTGTACGATCTGCGTGGTGGGGTTTGCCGCAATGGGTGGGGGGGCGTAATGCGAACCCTGCCTCTGGGGCCATGGGTGGAGATCCCTGTGGGCCACGACCCGTGCGAGAGGTGTGCCGAAGTAGGTGGGGGGCGGCATGCAAGCTTTGCCTCTGGGACCGTCCGTGGAAGTCCCTGCGGGCCACGATCCGTGCGAGAGGTGTGCCGAAGAAAGCCAGGCGACGCTATGAAGCTCCCCTTTTGGTGCCGCACATGCAGTTACTAGCTGGGCAGGACCCGCGTCAGGGGCGTGCCACTATGCGTACTTTGTCTCTGGGGACATGGGGGGTGGTTCCTGTGGGGCGCGATCCCTTTGAGGGGTGTACCAGCATTGGCGGGGAAACTCTTAAGCCAAGCCTGTATCTGGGGCCGTCGGTGGAGCTCCCTGAGCTGCACGATCCGTTTGACACTATGTGCCCTCCGACGCCGAGCACTTCAGACTACAACCAGAACTTGCTAGAACTTAAGTGCGCGAAGCGCGCGTGGTTCTAGTATTTGTGTGTACATTCATTTCTAGGTATACCCATGTATGCATATACATGTGTATCCATGTATCGAAGACGCCTACGGCGAATCACCGCCGCTCCCTGCCTTCTAGAATCGCCCATGTGGCCGAGCGTTGTGGCAAGAGCTCTGCCAAGCTATCGGACCATGTGTTCCCCCAACCGTTGTGGAAAACCATCGGGGAACACTTGGGGGAGGATGGCAGGGAAGATCAGGAGTAGGCGGAGGAGGTGGTGGAGGAGGAGGAGGAGGAGGAGGAGGAGGAGGAGGAGGAGGAGGAAGAGGGAGCATCTTGGGAGCCTCTAGGGACACTCTTGGGGCCTCCTGGGAGCTTCCTGGGAGTCTCTTGGAGGCATCTTGGAGGCCTCCTTGGGCCTCTTGGGGGCTAGTGGGGGGCTTCTCGGGGGCGTCTTTAGCCGTCTTGGTGGGCTCCTGGCCCGTCTGACGCCGTCGGAGATCGTCTTGAGGGCCTCTCTGGGCCGACTTGGGGCCCTCTCGGGGCGCTCCAGAGCCGTCTTGGAGGCCATCTTGGGCGTCTTGGAAGCTTTCAGGGCCGTCTTGGGGCCCTCTTGGGGCCCTCTTGGGGCCGTGGTGCCATCCTGGAGGCCTCTTGGGCGATCTTGGGGCGATCTTGGGGCGATCTTGGGGTGATCTTGGGGCCATGGGCCGTCTTGGTGGGCTCCTGGCTCGTCTGACGCCGTCGGAAGTCGTCTTGAGGGCCTCTCTGGGCCGACTTGGGGCCCTCTTGGGGTGCTCCAGGGCCGTCGTGGAGGCCATCTTGAGCGTCTTAGAGGCCTCTTGGGTCGTCTTTGGGCCCTCTTGGGGTCTTGGAGGCCTCTTGGGCCCTCTGGGGACGATCTTTGGGGCCTCTGAGGCCGTCTTGGGCCGTCGGAAGGCCGAAAAGGAGCAAACACGCACATCATTCAAACACTTACGGAGCATCGATGGCTGTGCGGGCATTTTAATGTCAATGTGAACGGTTTTGCGTACATCCATTTCTCTATAGCCGTTCCTTTGCTCGAGCATTCGGCTGGGTTTGCATGTTTCTCGCCCTCCTTGGGAACGTCGGGCTCCGAAAGTTTGTTCGGGCCCTCGGTCACAGCTCACTGGCCGCCATCGCGGGACAGGCGGGGTGCCCTCGTCCACCTCCGTGCCCACCGTGTGAGCTGCATTGTGGTGGCCCCGGGAGTTCGTGTCTACGAAGTGCTGGGGGGTGCAGTGGTTGGATCGGCTATCACTCTGATTGGTCAGTGGGCTACTGGTCGTGGACAGCAAGATGTTGGCCGCTCGCGGACCGAGAGTAGGGTCAGAGGCGTGGTGGGAATCGCTGGTGCCGGGGACGCGTCTTCTAGTCAAGTACGACGAGGACCTAGCTCACGAACGCGTCCTTCTCTGGCCTCTCCACTAAACACTGGGTCGTCCTGACCCCAGACGGTGACATCTATGACGAAGTGCTTGAGGATGAGGACGCCAAGGAGGTATATGCTGTGCGGAAGGGAGGTCGTCTTCCCGCCCATCTTGCTCACCCTGCCTACCGCTTTCGAGGCAACCTGGGCGTGGAGGCTGTTCGGACGGCCATCCGAGAAGGGCGTGCTGAGGCTGAGCGGCTTCACGCGGAGGGAGCTGGCGCCCTGGTTGAGCCCGCTGACGTACGAGGCTGGTGTGACAGGGGTGGTGCCGAGTTCCCATTGGGTGATCTATTGGGTGCGCCTATGGCTGGAGCAGCCGCTGGAGCACCTCGAGTGGGCGCTGAGCCTGGTATGCACTGGGTGGTCGCCGCCGGGGCGCCGAGCTTCTCCTTGGGCCAGAGAGCTAGTGGTGGGGAGCTGGAGGCGGTGGTCGGTCTCACGGGATTGTACCGTTTGCGCGCCTCTGGAGGCATCGGGGAGGTGGTGTTCGTTGACGATTTTCAGGAGGATGCCCTGGGTGACTACGCTGAGGTGCGACGGCCCGCCATTCAAGAGTTGGCCGGGGGTTTCGGCCACGCCGCGAGGTGCTGGCAGCGAAGCTCCCAAGCCCGCTGAGGACGGAGAAGAGGACGACGATTGTACCTCGTCTGTTCTGTATGATGAGCAGGGTGAGCGTTGGCGACCGCGGCGACGTGTGGCAGCTTCCTCCATGGAGAATTTCGAGGAAGACTGGCCTATCGAAGGCCCGCGTGCCACCCAATGGTTGCTGAAGCATGTTGAGCGGGCTGGTGGGTCGCCGATGCAATGGTATCATCGTTTCCTGGCCGAGTCAAAGATTGCTCCTGCGGATCGGGCGGCCGACGGGCTGCAAGTGATCTGTAGGACCTTCGAGTATGCTGGATCGTGCGATCACTTCAATATTCTTTCGTTGTCTTGTTTCGAAGCTTTGTTCAGGCGGTGGCAGCTGCTCCTCGACGCCAACTCGAGGGGCCCTGGTGATCCGAAGTTCGATGGCGTTGAGTTTGGGATGGGCGTTCAGCAGCGCGCCCTGGGTATTGCGCCACCGTTGTCAGCCCACATCGCGAAGGGAGCGAATGGCCAGGCCGAGATCGAGACGGCCAGGCAGAATGAAAAGGAGGCGCGGGGGCCAAAGAAGGATCCTCCGCCTCCGAGGATGACGCGGGCAGCAGTCCCCCCTTCGCCCATGTCTTCGGGGACGGGGGGGGGGGGGCGAAGGCGGACCGAGGCGAGCAGGCTTGCGCCTGGGGCGGGTCGCCGCCGACATGTTTGACATGCTGCAGGGATCGGTGGAGCTCTTTCCACTTCCCCTAGTGGCTGTTCCTGAAGTCGCTGGGAAGTACCTTTCGCGAGGGACTCGACCGCGTGCTGGGCGAGGACGTCGCGCTGCTTTGCGAGGGGGCCACGCCGAGGGGGCGCTGAACGGGCTTGCCGGGCGCGACGACGTTGTCTCCGAGGTGTTCACCGAGAGTCGTTCTCCAGTCTTGGATATGCCGATGGTGGCCGCGAGGGGGAGTGCGCCCGTCGAGCCCGTGCC